CCCCCCCCCGCCAAATAAAAGGGTGGATGAGCGAACCCAAAGGCTGCCAGTAACCAGAACTGCGAGCCTCATCTAGGCACGAGGAGACCACCTCTGCTCGCTCCACAGTGACGGTCCAGAACCCCTAATCCCAAAATCCCACCTACAAACTGACTGGAGAACCATCCTTCCCAACACGTTACAAAAGAGTCCGTCAGGGGCCTTTTCCCTGGGCTAGGAAAGCCCTCGGTCTTTTTTAGTTTGCAGATTTACTGTGACTTCCTATCTAAGGAGAGGAGGCGGGGAACATAAGGGGAGACCCCCTATGAGCTGACGTGTTGAAACGAAGCTTCATTGTGGGCAAAAATAGTCCCAAAAGAATAGACATGCTGGCAGAAGTCAGAGGAGAAACCAGGCGACCCCTGAAGTCATTTGCACACTTTCCAGAATTGTGCAAGGCGAACTCAGCTTGCCCTGAGGGGCTAGAGGGACCCCCGTGTTGGCTTCACCGGGGGGCAGTGGGGACCCTCTCCAGCCACACCACTGTGGGGGAGAAGGGCCCCCTTTGCACAGAGAACCAGTGCTCAGCTGCCATGCCTTTGGGGCCAGCAGCTCCAGCGGGGAGGGGAGATTAATTCAAAGACAGGGAAGGCTTGAATTGTAAAGCAGACAGCCCCTGGGGACTTCCCTGTCTCGGCCCACCTGTGACACCATGTGGTGGTGGGCCTGTGGCCGCCTCAGGTTCCCTGGGGACTGGTCCCCGTCATCTCTGCCCCGAAGACTCCCTTGGAAGTCTACCAGCTTGAGACCCCAGGCTGAAACCACAGGCCCCCCTCCCTAAGGCCTTAATGTCTCCATCAGCCGTCCCTTCAGGCCCCATGGCCCCGGCACAAAGCCCCCTCAGGGAGGTCTGGAGGTCCCCACAGAGCAAACTGACCTGTGGAGGAAAGGAGCCATGGGCTCTGGCACAAGTCCCGGCCTCACAAAGCCTCCAGAAACGCCCGTTCTGCAGCAGGGGCTGAGGGAGAGAGGGTGTCCAGCAGAATGCCCTTCGGGCATGAAGAAGAGGAGTCCCCACTGGATGTGCCCCTTGTGCAGCCCGCCCTTGAGCAGAGCTCTGCCCTGGCCTTCTGCTGAGGCTCCAAAAAGCAGGCAATGGATCTATCCCCAGGGGAGGGAAGGGGCTGGAGGCTTCATATAAAGTCCCACCTGCTGCCTGGCCCACTGTTCTGCTTCCAAATCACCCTCTGGGGAGGAACCAAGCTGGGCAGTCACCAACACCGTGGCCACCACGACCCCAGCTGGGGCAGGGTGACCGTCTGGGGTGTTGGCTTAAAATCAGTGCCACTGAGAGGGACAAGGGTCTTAGGCTCTCGTGTCCAAGGCCTCAAGCAGGTGTAAGGACAGCGTTATCTCCCTACACACACCCCTGCCCAAAAGTAGTGGTTCTGCAGCCGGCAGCCAGCAGCCAGCAGCCCAGCTTCAGGGTCAGGAGAGAGGAGTGTGACATCCCCCTTTGGCTCACCATGAATGGAAACAACAGTCAGGCTGAGAGTGTGAACTCCTGGCACCAGTTTGGGCAACGGCTTCCCCTTGCTGGGTGTCCTGGAGCTGGGAGGCTCCCCCGTGCTCGGACGTTCCCAGATTTTCTGCCTCTGAGATGTTTCCCTCTTAGCAACCGTGGACTTGCTCTCTCTGTGTGATTTTGAGCCAGTGGCGTGGGCTACCTGGGCCTCCTCCCTCCTCTTACACAGTGAGGTTGGACTGGGCTGTCTGGCCTCGCGATTCACCTGATTCTGGGCCTCCAGGCTCAGTGTGGACAATGAACAGGTTCGAGGTGGCCCAGTGTGGAACTGAAAGGGGTAACCGAGCACCCAGCAAGGTGGTGGGTGGACCACCCCCTTCTCCAGGGAATGTCCTCAGTTCCTGCTCCTCCAGCGGCTGCTGGGGCTCCAGGCAATTTTGATGCATAAGCAAATTGCTGACCTCTGACCCCCTGGCTCTCCTGCCCAGCACCCAAAGGTGCAGAGGGACAAACTCTCATTGATTGCAAATAACCCAAGGGCTCTGAGGGACATCTGGGTAAGACATTTTTTTTAAACCTTCAGAGGTATTGAGATGGCATGTTTCTCTAGAATCTGCCCCTAGGATTGCCAAGCAGAGAACCGAAGGGACTCGCTTTAAGGAAAAGTTAAGAACGTTAGGTAATTAGCACAGGTGCTGAAGCTAAGACGGTTCCAGAAATTCTCAAGGAGGGAAACATCATCCTTGCACTTGGGATTAACTTGGATTAACCTGGATCCTTTGTTAAACTAACCCTCACATTCTAGGTCACGGAAAGAAACGTTTATGCCCTGCCTGGCTGGGGAATCAGGAGACAACAAATGCCTAGTGGTACTGACCAGCGAAGGCTGGACACTTCAGTGGGGAGAACGCTGAAGAGAGTGGGGGATTTCAGTGCTGGTCTAAACTCCACCAGCGTGCTGTGTGACTTCCGGCAAGTTGCTTGCTTTCTCTGGGCCCTGTTTCGTCTGTTGTAGAATGAGGAGGTCACGCTCCATCAGCATTTCCAACACTATCCCTTGGTGGATATGTGAATTAGCAATTCATGAGAAACTGTCAGGGCAGGCAAATATGTTGGGGAAACACTAGGAAAACAGATCTCTTTAGGTCAAGACCGACTCAGAGTCATGAATATGTAAATATGTATTGTCAGGCTCCAATGAGGTGATTCCGAAGGTTGCTGTCCCCTGGGTTATTCAGCTGGGAACGTTCTGGTGGAGATCTCCCTCAGGGGTTTGCAGACACTGATATTCAAAGAGATCCTTCTGGATGCCAGGCACACCAAGCGGCATAGTGAACATGTCGGGTGGTAGTCCTGTGCTTTTGGAGCTTGGCGAGAAGTATTTGAAGAATGTCTCCTCCTCCGCGAACCATTTCCCCACCCCTGGGGGACGCTGTGTCTTAAGCTGCCTGAGCTGCGACATCCCTGGCCTGTGGTTCTGTCATGTGCAGGTGTGGCCTCAGACTGTGCTGTCTGGGCATCGTTTGCACCGAAGGCCAGCCCCTGAGCTTTCTGACACGGATGGCACGATAGAGCTGCCCGCAGCAGCGCGTGTATGGTGTAGCCAGAATGGAGGCGGCGTGGCACTCTCGCTGGAGCACCTGCAGTGAGCCTCCTTGGCCAGGTGGAGCAGGGGAGTCCCCGCCACAAAAGTATCCTGAGGAGCCAACCTCCCGCCACACCCAGAGTCCTCCCTCAGCGGAGGAGATCAACTCTGGATCCCGGGGAAAACTGGGCCCCGCACTTAGGCAGACCTGCACTGGATTTGAGAAGAAGCATTGGTTTCCAGCCGACGCATTTGCGGTTGCCCAGTCCTTCCCCTGCCTGTGGACAAACGACATCTATTGGCCTGTGCTGCTGTGATGGATGAATGGAGTAGCTAGTTCCAAAACTACCTGCTGGGGTGGGGGTGGGGTGGGAGTGGGGGTTTCACCTGCTCTCTAGGAGGGGAAACTTCTCTCTTTCTTGGCAGGGACTCCCGGTGAAAGGAAGCGAGGAAACAGGTCTCCCCTGATCTGTGTGACCGGCCACCCTGTCCACCTGCCCCACTAGAGCCTGTGACACAGCACCTGCTGTTGCAGGGTCCAAATGCTGCTGTCCCCTACTTGCGTCCTGGAGCATCCCCAAGTGGCCCCTAGACACAAACGCATCCTGTATCCTAGGGCTTTGGGAAGGGAAAGAGAAGGGCATTGCTACCAGGAACGGGTTGTGTTCACGACCCGTGGGAGATCTTTTTCTTCTTGCCACCAACTAGCAGGGACCAGGGAAATCAACAACCCCCCCCCCCCAACCAAACGGGCGCATTCCTCAGCCGGAGCACGTGCCACAGCTCCAGTATAAAAATAACCAGGGCAGGGGCGTGTGTGGCATTTTGCAGCTGGATAATCTGATCTTCAGA